ACACACACACACACACACAGCCAACCCCACAGGGGTTTGGCAGACAAACACAATCAAGAAGAGAAGCAGCAGGAAGAATCAGAAGGAAGAAAGAAGAAAGCAAAGAGAAAGAGAGGAGACAAGGAGTATAAAAGAGTGTAACACTGGTCAAGGGCTGTACCACTGAAGACAGCGAGAAGCCTGGAAGGGGCAGAGCAGCAGAGCCAGTGGCGACATGTCCAGAAGGGGCCAGCAGTGACTGTTGGCAGAGCCAAGAGAAGTCTGTCCTAGGGGGGCTAAGAGGAGCCTGTCCTCAGGGGGCCAAGAGAAGTTGAGAGAGTTGTCTTGCACCAAAGAGAGACTCTGCCTACATGCTTCCTGATCCTGTTTCCTGAGTTGTGATCTGTTGATCCTGATCCCGAGTTCTACCCTGTTCCTTGATAAATCATTTAACTGTTAAGTACAGTTTATGAGTTCTGTGACATATTGCAGTGAACAGTCAAACCCAAATAGAGGAGAGAAGAATGTCGAGGGGAGGGAGGATAGCCAGTGTCAGAGGTGGAGTGGTATAGCACTTTACAGAATGTGGGAATCTGGGATATGTCTGACTTCTCATAGGAATTGGCTTTGTGCTGATTCTTATTGTTCTGGTTACCTAGTGCTGCTCTGACAAGAAATATACCACAAATGGAATGGCTTAAACAAACAGGAGTTTATTCTTACAATTTGGAGGCGTTAAGTCTAAGTTCAAAGTGCCAGGCTCTAGGGGTTGGGTGAAAGCCCCTCAACGTTGGGGGTCCAGCTCTGCCTCCTGCTCCCAGCCCACTAGAGCTAGAGGCATTTCTTCACTCACACAGCTGCAGGCTGCTGAGGTTGAGAGATCCCAAGGCTGACAAGTAAAATGGCACAGTCCCAATGTTACTAAACTACACGGTAAGCCATTAACTTAAGTCTACTGTTAAGTCCCAAGGTTGGCAGAGCATAGCAGGCTGCTGAGCAATGACACGGCTACGTGTAGGGTCCAAGCGTGCCATATGCTAGAGACCATTCCCAAGGCTTCTGCTTACATACAGGAAGCAGACCACATCCCACATGCAGCTACTCAGCTGCTTGTGATAGATCCCACCATGGAGTTGATTGCCAGTTTCATCATGGGGAATAACTACCACCAGCTTCCCAGCCACTCAACTAGGCCCAGCCAAGTTGACACACAAACATAACCACCACACTTATATTTGAAGTTATTCATACAACTTATCTTCCATGACCTAAGCACTTTTAAAGAGTATTAGTACATGAATTATTTTGTCAAATGCCTCTCAAATTGGGTTTTTCTGATGTTTTCTCATGACTGTACTAAGATTTTGCATATTTTGCAAGAATTCTGCAGAAATGATGTGTTCTTAGTGCATCATGTGACAGGGTTCAATGATATCTATTTATCTTATTACTGGTGATTACAACATTGGTAATTGGTTATGGCAGTTCTTCCAGGTTCTCCACTATAAAATGGTGGGGTAGTTAATAAATATCTTGGAGGAGATTCTGTGAAACTATGTAGGTTCTGTTTCTTCTGAAACTTTCACTCATTGGTCTCTTTAGCATCTGCTGGTGAATCTTGTCCACCACACTTATTCCTGTTGTGTTTGCATAGTGGCAATTTTCTATTTTCTTCTTTCTACATTTATAAATTGGAATTCTACTGTAAGGAAGATTCAGCACTTTTTTTTTAACCTCTTAGTGCCCTTATCTTTATTTTTCTTTATTTTAAAATACATTTTATTGAAATACAATTTATATACAATGAAATGCACAACAGTAAAGTGACATGGGTCAATTTTTTTTTTGCAGTGCCCCCCCACACACCTGGTAACCAACAAAGTTTCTTTCCATATATAAACCTTTCCTTGACTTTTTACAATAATGAATTAATACTATATTTCTCCTGTGATTGATTTATTT